CCTGCATTTAAAATGAACATTTACCATAAATTATAGGTATCTTATATTATTAGATACGTTATTATAAAACATGTTTTAGTTAAGGAGTTATTGATACTTCAAGTGCAAAATCATGATACAAAACCTTGATAAAAATACACTTTTAAATACTAATAAGATAATTAGTGCAAGTGATACTAAGTTAAATTTTGGATGAATATTTATTATAAGAGGTGGTGTTGTTTCTTGGGCTTCAAAGAAACAAATATATATATAACTTATTCTACAATAGAATCCAAGTTCTTAGCTCTAGCAGTCACAAGTTAAGAGATAGAATAATCAAGAAATATGCTTTTGGATATTTTAAGTTGTGGTCACAACTAATGCCATCTATCTCTTTACATTAGATTGTCAAGTAATTATATCAAAGGCATATATTAAATTTTACAATAGAAAATCTAGATATATCAGCTTGAGACATCAATATATAATGCAATTAATTTCTTATGAAATAATTACCATTATATATGTTAGATCTTATAATAACATAGCAAGTTTTTTTATTAAAAGTTTTTCAAGAGATTTAGTTAGAAATAATTTTGCTAGTATAATATTAAGATCATTTAATTAAACTTACTAATAATAAAAACTCGATTTTTACTGGTATATTTATTAGCCAGAAGTTTCATGGGTAATAATAAATTATTAATAAGAGTTGTGTATAAAATTAGTATATGAAATCTATATTTACAAAATTAATGGGAGGACAAGTGATTAACACTCTTAACAAAATTTTAATATAAATTTTTTTTTTTACAGGTAGACATCAATGGTGGATGCAGGCATTATTGATCAAGAATATTCATCTGTTTACAAATGTAGTCACTGATCAAGAAGATTCACTTGCTTACAAGTTTTTGATTGAAAGCGAGTCATTCTATCTTCGCCAAGATATGAAAGAAACCACATTTCAGTGCCCAACGATGTTCACATTTTTCGGTTTGGTTTCAGCATGACATTACACAAACCACGTTATGCGCCCCCAGGCAGTGTAGCGCGGGAAACATGCTACAGTCAAAACTAAAAATGATGTCATATATTAGTTAATGAGATGAATCACTCGAACACGACCAAGCACCAAGTGTCACGTTCTGTTTGGTGAGGCCACGGCCAACGTGCCCAGCTGAGAAAAGAAAATGAGCCTCCCTCCCTCTCGTCTCCTCTCTCTGCTCCTTCATTGACTTGAAACCAAAGCTAACAGTCTTATTCCAATTTTCCACCAAAGTTCGATTTGGTACGTCCTTAACTGGATCCAAACTCTCTACTCTTCCCCCCTCTCTGCACTCAACAAAGCAGAGGAGATCGGCAGAAGAAAACCCTAAATTAAATTAAAGATCGAGAATGTCGAAATCGTTGCCTTATTCCATGAAAGATGTCCATTACGACAACGCCAAGTTCCGACAACGTTCACTCGTCAAGGTTAACGTCTCTTTGTCTTCTTCTTATTGTTACTTCTCTCTATCCAGAATAAATACGATCAATTCGATCCTTTTCTTTTTCTCAATCAGTTTTCTATTTTTTAATGTCGTTCAATTGTGGCGTTGCCGAAGGACTAGAGGGATTTGATTTTATTTAGGAGTAATTTAAGGATTTAATGCTATGAAGCTTTAATTAACTCTGCAAATGAGTAGAAGTTCAATATGTTGGTAATAATGATTTCGTATGTCAAGCTTGTTTTCACACATACAGATCCATTAATTTGTTGGAGCTATATGTGTATCTTACTCTACGCAACTACGCCCTACGAATCCCTGTTCTGCTTAAATCCAATAGAACCTAATCATTCCACGGGATGTTGTGGTATATGCCTATTACAACCTCATCATCCTGCTTTGAGCTGAATTTTTTGCTGGGATGATACAGTTTATGGACGTAAGCATGGAGATCAGGGTCAAAGGGTGATGCTTGCGTCTGGCAAACTTACATGATCAACTAGAATGTTGCAATTCTGGTTTATTGGAGTATTAGCAAGGCTAATATATTATCATGGTTGGTTTATTAGGAATAAAGGCATTGTTGGGTATATAGATTTGGATAGCACAATTAGGGTGTGATAACATGCTTTCCGAAGGGAATGTCAGATCAAATGCTGGAGAGGGTTTGGTATATCTAGAATTACACCATAGAAGAGAATATTGGAATGTGTAGGGAGTTCATGTCATGCATGGAGTTCGAGATTTTTTTTTAGTTTTCTCCGTTACCAAAATAACAAATGGAAAACGGGCACAAAAAAATCATTATAAGGTTTCTGATACACACAAAGGGGTTTATTAGCGATGCTTATTCTTTCCTACTAATAGTCACCATATTATGCAGAGAGACATTTATTGGAATAAGGTGACTTTTTGCTTAATTGCCTTGTTAATTCTAGCCTTTCTGTTCCTCCTGCTTTCATGTTCAAGTAACTACATCTCCACTTTCAGTTGTGTTATTTTATAAAGATACATACGTGGAAAGGATGTAATTTCTCGCTCTGTTAACTTGCTATTTCTAGCCTCTCCTTTCTTCCTGCTCTCATGTTTAAAAAACAGAGGTCCTTTGGCGAAAGCACTTTCCTCAATGCTAGCATAATTGTCTAACTGCCCCTTGGTTGTGGGAATGATGTTGATAAACTTGACCATGGTTTGGTTTGTGACTTGGGCCATTTTCTTTACCTTTCTCCTTTCCTCTGGCTTATCCTCTCTTAATCCAAGTCAAGAATAATTGAAAGTGCACTTTGGTAATTTCAGAAAACCACTGAGTCAACAATGGTATTTTTGTAAACATATCAACATATGGGTAAAACAATGTTCTGAAATTAGTGTTCATGGAGAATCTATATTGTAACAGATGCAGACCATAGGTTTTTAAGAAATCAGGTGTCAGAAGCAACGGATTGTGAGACATAGGATAGTTCTTGTAATTTTCTTCTAATCCTTACATTAATAATTCCCATTAATCCAAGTTTTTTTTAGAATTTTAACAATTAGAGGCACCATATGAATTAATAAAATTTCAAATGATGTTCCCAAATTAAGAAATTTTCTTTTCCCATGGTTTGTAACATTTAAGATTCATATTTGTCTTTTTTGTTTTTCGTATGGATAGTTAATAGATTGAATTGTATTGCCTACAACTTATTATGTATTGCAGGTGATCACACAGTCCTTACTCACCAGTAACGCAAAGCATAATTGTATAAGTTGCAGTACAGGAAAGTTTTTAGCATTATTAATGATCTTTGGCTTAGCATGTCTTATGTTCACGCATAAAAGTACCCCCCATTCTGTTTCCCAAGGACAAGCTGAAGGAATAAAGGGGAATAAAGAAGTTAAGGGAATTTCAGATAGTGGAGGTAGATTCCAAAGGTTTTGGAGGAAACCACCAAGACTTCCTCCTCAACTACCGCCTGATGAAAAGGGTAGCATTGGTAATCTTCCTTATGAACCACAGAAGTTAAATACTGGTTCAAAATTGGTGGATAGGCAACAGAGAGTGCAGAAGGCTTTCATCCATGCTTGGTCAGGCTATAAAATGTATGCAATGGGCTATGATGAACTTATGCCCCTGAGTCAGCGAGGAGTTGATGGATTAGGAGGTCTAGGTGCAACTGTTGTTGATGCTCTTGATACTGCCTTGATAATGGGTGCCGATGAAGTTGTTTCTGAAGCAGGCTTATGGATTGAAACACACCTTTCTGATAGGATTAGCAATAAAGGCCAAGTAAATTTATTTGAAACTACTATTCGTGTCTTGGGTGGCCTCTTAAGTGCTTATCATTTAAGTGGAGGAGAGCAAGGGACAAATTTGACGCATAAGGGGCCTAAACCAACTGTCTATCTTGAAACTGCTAGAAATTTGGCTGATCGACTGCTTTTGGCCTTTACTTCTAGCCCAACTTCTATTCCCTTTAGTGATGTTGTTCTGCATGATCCGTCAGCACATCGAGCTCCAGATGGATTGAGTAGCACTGCAGAAGTTTCCACTGTGCAGCTTGAATTTAATTATCTCAGTACTGTTTCTGGTGATCCTAGGTACAGCATAGAAGCTATGAAGGTTTTGGAACATATAAAAGATCTTCCAAAGGTCGAAGGACTGGTTCCCATATACATAAGGTATGGGCCTTGTATAAAACAAATTCATTTGTTCTCCTGCTTGCATGCCATTAATTTTGCACATAATTATTTGTTTGTTTATTTTTTTTTCCCATCTTGTTGGTCCTTTGGCAGCTTTTGGGGTCGTCAACTAAAAGAAAGTTTATTAAATCTTTTTTTTTTTCTAAAGCTCTCCATTGAATAACAATGATCTGAAGTATTTTATGGTATATGGTTGCAAATTATGATTTCAATAGAAGAATGTAAATTCATTTTCAGATAAAAGAAAGTAAAATCTTCTGACTTTTCTTTGCACGAGTCTCCTTTTTTCCCATCCATAAAATAGAAACTCATGGAAGTATGCCTCCCTGCCACGTGCAGCTTTTTGACATTTGTTAACTATGGCAACAAATGTGGTATCGATATCACAATCTTATCTTTCTAGTGTTCACTTCCCAAAACATTGACTTTGTAAGGTTGATATTTAGTCCCCCTTCACTTTAATTTAATATTTTCAGTTATCATTTCCTTCTTTGTTTTTTGGTATAGTACATGTTTAGCTGGATAATTGTATGTCTTTTCCTCAGCGTGAAATTTTTTTGCATTTGTTTGATATTGTTTCCCTACTGGTTGCAGCCCTGACTCTGGTGAATTTAGTGGGGAAAATATTAGATTGGGATCTCGTGGTGACAGCTATTATGAGTACCTTATTAAAGTATGGCTCCAGCAAGGGAGAAATCAAGATAGTAATTTTACATATCTTTATGATATGTACGAGGAAGCAGTGAAGGGTGTTAGGCACCTACTTGTTCAGAAATCAATCCCCAATGGATTGGTTTTTGTCGGGGAATTGCCTTATGGACCAAAAGGTTCCTTTAGTCCAAAGATGGATCACCTGGTACATGGAGCTTTCTCTCTGTATTGTTGTTGATGTAGCTGATAAATTACTAATGTGTTCTGTGCATGCATCATATGTTTTGAATGATGGGAGTTTGCACCATAGAAATTACTGGTTTCCCTGATTAGAAATCCCCAAAATCTCACACTGTCATATAATATTAGTTTTCCATGTAGCAGTTGATTTACATGTTCTAGCCAACTCTCAATTTGAGGCCATAAAATGCTGGCATGCTATGAATGGATCCATGGAGTATTAGATGTATGCCCTGCACTATCATGTCAATTTAATGTATCAGATTTATCGGGAAAAGCTGCGCAGTTAATGCAAGGCCTGATGTTCCCATTATATTGGTTTATTCTAGTTGATAATTTACTAATGTATATATGCTTGCATATACTTTGGATTTCTGGGACACAAAAGTAGTTGCTAACTGAAGATCATCATTGTCATTCAATTACAATTCTCTCAGAATTATTGGCTCACTTCATAACAGCAAGAAGTCTGTTAGTCAAAAACTATCAATTGACTAGACTTTACATGTCATGCTGCAGTTGTTCTCTGACCTTTTAGCAAATTATATATTGAGTTGAGGATATGCAGTATTGACATATGGTAATGAGATGCATGAATTATCATCATGTCTTTACTCAAAACCATGCGTGCATTGTCGGAATCAACTTCATGTTCAAGAATAGGCTGCCTAAATATTTCAAGGCATAATATTCCGATACTATTGATGTAAAATCTTTATTATTGTACTATGTGAAATTGAAGCAGTTTTAGTTTAAAACCATCATTTGCTGGTATAGTAGGACCCAGGTTTATATTTGGGAACCTATTTTTCTGTCTTTGTTTCTTTGATTTATATATTTTAGATATTCTTAACTCTGTAATGTGTCAAATGATCTTATAGATTCCTTTTATCCTTTCAATTTCCCTTCCTCATCAGAAAATAAGTTAACCCTGAATACGGTTCAAATAGGAAATAAATTATATGGTTGTATTCTCAACCACCAGCTGCCTAAACACATATTCAGTGGGATGAATATTCAGAGGAATTTAGATTCTTCCTCAGCTATAGGCATTTACTTAAAAGGAAGGGGGGCAGAAACGAAGTTCACATGCTTTCTATTATTCTGCCATCCTTGGCAGTGGTCTACTGTGGCTTGCACAATCCTGATATCTTGATGTGCTTGTGATGTCTTTCAATTCATGAGTAGCATGTTCTTTCCTCCTTTTTATTTTTCCTTATTATTTTCTGATTTAGTGAATATGTGATTATGTGCCATTCATGCAAGGGTCGTCCTAATATATTTAAGTTCCTGATGTACGCCTTTGTAATTAAAGTTCTATTGCTCTCTTTTTGTCTAATAATAGTCACTGATGAGTGAGCTTTCTACTGGCCTTTCAGGTCTGTTTCTTGCCAGGAACACTTGCTCTTGGTGCCACCAAGGGTCTCACAAAGGAGAAGGCAATGAAAGAAAACTTGCTCAAATTTGAAGACCTTGAAAATTTGAAGCTTGCCGAAGATTTAGCCAAGACATGCTTTGAGATGTATTCAGTAACTTCTACTGGGCTTGCCCCAGAAATCGCTTACTTCCATACTGAGGTTGGTTGAATTTGGATGACATGTTCCCTGAACGCAGTTTTCTAAACCATCAATGCACCATAGGGGGTCATTTTCCTCTCCACTTACTGCAAGCTGTTGACTCCTTGCTTTTTTCCCTTATTTGTATTTTTTTATAAATGCATTTCCTTGTATTTATTGAGCGGGCCTTTACTTGGTGCAATGGAACATTGATGGACTTATCTACAAGGATGCAGGTTCAAGTACAAGAGTTGCCACTTCCTGCAAAATTGTTAGGGTGGCCTTGTCCTTGCATTCTTCCATTATAACCAGGTAAAGGCCTGTTTCCATGCATCTATGTGTTCTAATAATTTGCTGTCTGTTGTGATTAAGCAGGAATATTCAGAACATGGACTTGATGGTGGGAATAAGAATTCAAAGTTTATCAATGACATAATAATTAAACATGCTGATCGTCACAATCTTTTGCGGCCTGAAACTGTAGAATCACTGTTTATCTTGTATCGCATAACGGAAGACCCCAAGTATGCTCTTTAAATTTTTTGAGTTATTAAGTCTGAACTTTGTTCACTTCAAATACTCCTTTCTATAAATTTTTCTTTTTTGTTTGACAAAATTCTTACACTGTTATCTGATCTCAACTATACTGCACTGCAGATATCAGGAATGGGGTTGGCAGATCTTTGAAGCGTTTGAAAAGTACACGAAGGTTGATTCTGGTGGATACAGTTCTTTAGAAGATGTCACTGTGCTTCCTCCTCACAGAAGAGACAAGATGGAGACCTTCTTCTTGGGTGAGACACTCAAGTATTTCTACTTGCTATTCGGGGATAGATCTGTTATTCCTTTGGATAAGTATGTCTTTAACACAGAAGCTCATCCCCTTCCTATTAAAGGCTCATGAGAGTACTTGTACAATTTTTTTTCATACAAAACATGTGTGAAGAGAACAGTCCGGGGGAAGTGAAGTGATTATGAAAAATTCAAGAGACTTACCTTCTGCGACGCTGTGCTCAGATTTCTACAGAAAAGGATAGTTCTCTTGGACAAAGCAATTCGTATAGTGGCATGCTTGTAAGATGGTATATTGTTTTTTTAGTGACGCTTCTCATAATTTTATGTGGATGGGTTTTTGCTCTAAAAGCAATGAGGATACAACCAGTTGTAATTGACATCACCAATTTTCCAGTATTATTAACGACCATTGAGCCCCATTTGGCCACCTGATGTATTGCGCTTTTTGTTAATATTTCAATATACATTGCTCAAAATGTACAAGCTATCAGCTTGTCCGCATCAATGTCTTTGAACAATTTGGTCACATCACAACCAAATTTTCAGTCATCTTGGAGAAGACACAGATGATCGCCATCTCGAATGACACTGATACCATCAATTTCTGCATTCTCTGCATTCATGACTCTAGTAAATTTGTAGCCTCCAAATTTTTCACCTGCAGTTTGACAAATGGCTACAGTGAAAATAGGATTATGCAAAACGAGGAACAGATGATTTAGCCAACTGATCTCTTTTCAAAGTACGATATCCTTGTTCTATTTTAGCCTCAGCGGTAAAATAATAATAATAATAATAATTCATGAGTTTTGTCCCCTATAAGTTTATTTACACGCTGTAGAGGTCAAGAGTTTACCGGCAATTCTGAGCAACTCTTCCATAGAATCAGGTAGGATAATTAGCTTCCCAAGTCGGCTCTGTAATGTACTTCTGTTTTGAAGCTGCATGTGGATAGTGACTCGCTTGGTTGATTTCTTTGCTTCCCTATCAAGGGGACATCTAGAAATGCATGAGCTGGAGTTTGTGAGCGCCTTGTTTCCTTCATGTTTCCCTTGACTTTTCTTGGTGTCACCTACAGTTTCTGACTCGATAAAATCTATTCTATGTTCATTTAATATATTCCTATTTTCGTAATTTAGTAAGAGATCATGTATGCTTTTATTTCCTTGCTGTTCGGCTAGAGCTTTTGGGGTCCATCCTCTGGCATCTGGTTTGTTTATGCTTGCTCCTCCGTCAAGCAAAATCTTAACCATTTCAACATGCCCCTCGCAAACAGCAGCATGAAGAGCCGTTTCGCTATTCTCAACTGCTGTTACTAACCCTTCATGTCTGCTGCCTAGTTCACTCTTTCTTGTAGCCTTTGATCCCTGGGAATCTGTCTCTCTTGCTTTGTTCACTGATAGATCTCCGTGCATATGATCTTTACACCCTCTCTTAGAACACCATTCTTCTCTGTATTGGGATTCAGAATCCATGCTTTCTCGCCTCCGCAGTTTCTGTAAATGGGTAGGATAAAATACCACCGTTCAGCTAGGGTAAAAGAAAGGAAGTTAACAAAGATCTTACAGCTCAAGAAGCTTTATTAAATCATATACCATGGAAAGATGATTCATTATGACGCGCCCATCTTCTGGATTCGCTTTTATGGTGCTCATGAGAGCAGTTCCGTTCAGTCGTAGTATTTGAGAAAGCTCAATGGTTCTAACTGTGAAAGGTTGCGGCCTGGAACATAAAACTCCGACCTCGCCAAACGTGTCTCCTGCTATTGCTTTCCCAATAACCTGTACAGAGGATGTAATTGAACTTTAACCTTATTGTTTGTTTAATCTATGGGAAATATGTGACTTAGAAAGAGCTGGCACTAGTACCTTTTCACGTTCATCAACATGCAATATCAAATCCTGCAACAAGGAATGGTTTTCCCATACAGCTAATGTTAGTAAAAGATTCTGATATTTAGAGGTAATGAATGAACACAAAATCAAGTTTACACACCACTGTTCCCGAGACGAGTATGTAGAGATCTGTAGGAGCTTCATTCTGCAGAATTACATCCTCCTTGGGTGGAAAATATTCAGCCTCCATTTCTGAAACCTATGATGAAGTAAATTTCATCAGTCTTCTGAAACTGGGCAAACATTGATGCTCAACTTGCCATTAACCCTCTTCTATAAGGAAACTACAGCCTCCTGCCTGTTGTTGTTTATCTTTTTACCCGTATATGATTCCAGCAGGTCATATTTTTGGTTTAAGAAGAGGAAGGGGAGAAAAAGAACGATGTGTAAATGTGAAGTCTTACCAGTTGGAAAAGGAAGTCCTGAGAAACCCCTTGGAAGAGATAAGCACTTTGAGCAATAGGATGGAAGAGATAGTCTGCAATGCTTGAACGAATGGCTTTTGGCAGACCATTTAAGGTCTCTTGCTGCTTCAATCCTTCTGTTTTGAACTTGAGGCATATGTGTGACAACATTTGTTCCTGTATGCGAGGAGGCAATTGATTTCGTGCAGCGAATTCTGAAGCAGCTCTGACTGTGTCTCTCTGCGAAATTAAATTTACAGCTGTAATGGGGCTACTCATGTGATTGGAATGTTCAAGGAGTAGACAAAAGTGTTGCTTAACAAGTGATTTATACTGGATCACTACTATTGACATTGAAGGAGTAGGTGAATCCTATTGTGTTTTAGTAGGATTTCTGAAGTCTTCACATAAAATTGGTGAGCCAAGGAGTAGACACGACAGATATGTTGTACAAGGATTTGTGATTTCCTTGAATCCATGTAGCTTATGCGTGATCTTGGAAGGTGAAAACCTAGTTGGAAATTGGAAAACGAGAAAGCTACAAGTGAGAGAACTCACAAAGTTCCTTGTGCGGCTGGTCCAGTGAACTACAAGGTTTGTCATGTTTCCAATGAGGTATGAGGTCAAACCCAAGTTGAACAGCATGTAAAAAATGTCAAAAAGCATCTCCCTGGGGTTCTCAGCATGCAGGTCCCCATAACCTGTTGTGGTTAATGTGGTAATAGACCAGTACATTGCTGTCACGTATCTATTCCAGAGTCTCTCCTCTTTAAAATTTGGGTTTACTGCACCGATCCAGGTTCTCTTCGGATCAGGGTATCTATCTGCAATCAAATAGTTAAAGCATCCAGCACAGTGTACTGCAAACAGGGTTACCTGAAATAAACCAGAAGGGAAAGGAGATTAGAAATATTACCTATTTAATTAGTTTTTACTAGAAAGGAACGAGTTGGAAGTGCGTGACTTACAGAAACAAGTTTTGTGCACCGAGTCCAAAAATAGTTGAACCTGATGTCCTTCTCAAGTCTATATAGGAAGAAAACAGAAAAGCTCCTCAACTCTCCAATTCTTCCATTATAAAACTACGAAATTCCCAAGAAAAATGAAATCATTGGAGTCTGGTGGCAAACCTTGCAAACAAGGCACTGACTCGTCTGAGACGCCAAAGTCTGAGCATGCTGAGGATGTTAAAACCAAGTCCATTACCGTGATTTCTGAACAGGAGACTAAGAGACTGAAATGGGGCTGTCGAGCAGACATCGAAAATAAACCACGTTGATATGTACCTGCAAAAGGTTGGATTTGAGTGATTGCTAAGTTGAGAAGAAGCATTTATTAATTGTGGAGGAAATGATGCTGCAGGACGCTTGGCTACCTTATTGCTATCTTCTTAGGGTCGTCGATAAGGAGGTAAGAGTGGCTATCTAGATACGCAACGAAGAAGGTGAGAACAATATCAACAGCAAAAAAACCGTTGACAACGTTGTCAAAGATGAAGAGGGCATCTTTCTTGGATGTTAGGAAAGCAAATTCAAATGGAGAGATCCAGGCAGAGTAAACGACTAGAACAACCAGCCACATCTCCCAAGCCCTGTAATGAAAGGGACTTGTTAGAAGGCAGCCGAAATAAAATTGGAAACAATTATTATAATATATAGAGTGATCAATTCTAATCACCTATAATAGGAATTGTAAGGGGAAATTATGTATCTTCGAAGTTTGGTTGCCCGATTTATCTGGGCACCGAGGGATGGTAGGAGATCGCTCGAGAAGAAGCTGCCATGAGAAACACCCTCCACATGAACCTCTTCGGAACAGAAGCGTTGGAAGAAGTTCTTGGCATTGAAAAATGCCATCTTAATTAATCACTGGTTGCTTGAGTTCTCAAGGGTACTCTCTCTCAAGATTTTGTGGGGATGAGTTTGTTGTGAATGGCTGTGTGTGTGTGTGTTTATATATACTGAAGCTTTTGGGTGGTGACACGGGCTATGCCTTCTTTTTCAATCACCTTTTCTTTAACTTTCTCAAGACTCTTGACATGTTGAAATGATTCTGCAAGAAAGTTAATCGAAGTAGCGCGTCATTTAAGGATTGAAATGGAAGCAGGAAAAAGGTGAAGGGGGGACTTTTCGGCCCTGTTTGAACAAAGAAGAGAAAAGGAAAACAAGAAGGACAAGCAGCTGAAGAACAAACGGGGTCTAGGACATATGGCAGTACCAAGTGGCAGACATGAGTTTTCCCGTAATGCAATGGCAGAGAAAAAATAGTCTGAGAGACACAGAAAGAAGAGCAAAAGAAGATAATGGCAATGATACTCGTGCTTCTTGATGGTTGTGGTGGGGGTGGTGGTGGCAGTGGTGGAAGCTCCATCATAAAAACATGTGGAGGGGTGAATCATATACAGACAAGGCCTTTGCAAGGACAGATTTGAGTGAAAACATATTGGTGTTTTCATTTCAAAATCTAGAGATGGAACAGGCAGCTGTAGTCGAATTTGGGGAGGGGAAACTACTTGTGCTTGCCACGTGGACCAATAGGGGCTTTGGTTAGAGGAGTGACATTTCTTCCTTCCTCGAATCCCTCCAACCAGCCAAACCAAAATTCTCCTCCTCCTTGTACTGAGGTTTTTCTAACCATACGATATACTGAGAAATTAATGAAGTAGGATGAATTTCTGTTTTTTAATTCAAGAAAGGTGGTTTAACTATATGATATATGCCAATTCATCTGCCTTCACTCTCATGAAAATAATCTTTATCTTGTCAATAATTAACAAATGCAGAAAATTAAAATATATACCTAAACCAGATCGAAGTGATTTTACTAATGATAAAATGTAGGATAACGTCGCCATTTCTCACAGTACAAAATCTATTTATAATATGGAAAGAATTTTCTAAAGTATCCCTGGTAATTGGTTTATGCCTCCCCCAGGACTTGATGACTTGTTTTTTTTAATCTAAATTCCATATTTAGGAATGTTTTATTTAGATATTGCATTAACCTCTTTGCTAGTTGAGTTTCGATGATGCATGATATCTCTGTATGTATCATCATGCACGTGCCTTCGAGATCAATTCCCACCATTAATTTTCAAGATTTTCTTTGAAGATTTACGGATTATGCTTGTTTGTGTAAAAAATAGGAAAATGAACTCCCAGAAAGTTACCGTATATTTTACAGGTGAATGAAGTTGGGAAAGAGGACCCAGCGGCTCATGGATTCGTTCCGTAGGGATGGTGGTCTGGCAGATTCAGCCAATGGCACAACTTCGAGTGAATGTATCAGAAAAGACTTTTACTTTTAACGAGGAAGATCGGGCATTGGTGGGTTAGCATCTGCAAGCAGTGATGAGCTATAATAACTAGACTAGACTAGATATGGGAATTGCTTTTTATAATTATTATGGTTACTATTATTCTTTCTACTATTAGATGATTTTTTATAAAATAATTATTTTTTAATTAATATTTGTGTTTAGATTAGTTTATATATATTTTTATTAATTTTATAAATTTTAAATTTAATAATTATATAATTTTTTAGTAGTAATAAAATTTATAAGACTCAAACTAGTAACCTTTAAATATCAAATTTAAAATCTAACCAGTTAAATTATATCATAATTTTTTCTAATAAAATACTGCATGTAAATAGAAATACATTTTTCACAGTCAATCTTGTTTTGAATCCAAATCTAAAATGATTAAAGTAAGGTATAGGTCCACCTATACAGTAAAAGAATAGAATTACTACTTTTATTTAAAGAAATATTATTATTTAAAGTTTTGTCTTTTCTATTTTTCTTGTTTATTTTTTTTACAAACAATAATTAAAGGCTACTAAAATTACAATGAGACATTTGTGCCTAAAATAACTACAAAAAGTTGTACAATTACTAAATATATTAAAAGGACTAACCTTTTGGTTCTGATTTTTATTCTTAAGTTTTTTCTCTTATTGAGTCTTTTGTGCATAATTTCACTTAAAATGGTTTGAAATTAAAAAAACACTAAATTAAAAACAAAAGAGTATCAAAATGTAAATCATAGAGAAAAATCATGGTCATGATCGAAATCTAGAAAAAAGTGCTTCTTAGACCATCTATATTCCTATCTTCTCCAATTTAGTCCTTGTAGTTTTGAAATTTTAGTTTTAGCTTAAAAGTTTATTTTGTTTATTTTATAGTCCTTGAGTTTGAGTGAGAGAAGAGAAACTCACTAGAAAACAACAGAAAAGAGAGGAAATTATCAATTGGTCACATTTCAACAAAAAGAAAGGATCTTGGTGTTAACAGGTTCCATTCGATGAGAAAAGCTCAATTGAAGTGTTTTTAAACCATTATTTTACATGAAAAAAATATATCATAATTGAAAGAGAATTATTTTCCTTGTTTGATTATATGTTTTTGGACATATTTTGAAGTGTTTTAAGTTAAGATATTGATTTATGGACATGATAAGAATACTTATTAGATGTTTTTAAATGAAAATTAAAAAATAATTTTTTTTATCAAAAACTCTCATCCCAATTTTCCAACCACCTTTTGTGGTAGAAAACTAGGCTAGCAAACAACATGTAATTAGCCATCATAGACAATGTTACATCTACTTTTTATTTTTTAAGAAAAATTGGTAAGTGGCCCTTATACCAAAGAAAAAAGGGGTTATGCATGTTGGCTTGGTGGTGTGCGGAGGCTTTTCTTTAAATAGCTTGGCAACCTAGCCTCAAAAGCATAACCTATATATATTCAACCCATTACGTACTTTATTGTTATTTGTTTTAATTCAATCTCATAAAAATAAATAATTATAAAATATATTAAAAACATAATTTTTAAGAATAAAAATATATTTTTTGTATAAAATTATTGGGCGCTTTTTATAGCCCTTGAGATTTGTATTTTTTTAGAGTTAGATTTTTTCTTTTCTTCACAATTCGTTTTTATTATCACATGTTTGCATAAAAAATCTAAAACTTGTTAGTGTATTATTCATATATTTTTAATACATCCACAAAATAATAATGAAACTATCATTTTTTTATATTAAACTTACTTTATTATTTTGATAATTTTTTTTTCAATGAATAAATATTTGGATAAATTAATTGAAGAAAAGAAGAAGAAGAGGAATTTCATTTATAGGTTAAAGATGTTTTAATTAAAGCGATTCCATTTTCATCTTTAATTTGGATCATTTAGTTTTTTTTCTTGAATATTTATTCTAATTTCCTTTAGTTTTTATTAAATGAAGTGCATTCCTAAAAAAAGTTAATATTTTTTGGTTAAGAAAAATATATTAATAAGAAAAAGAATGATTGTACTAGCAAGTTCTATTGTTACCTATTTTTAAAGGCCCACATAAACAAAAAAAAATAAAAAATAAAAGGAAAAAGAGAAAATACATAAAAAAAAATAAAAAATGTCAAAAGAAAAACAATATGTATCAGTTGAGAAGGACGAATTGGAACTCCTAGGAAATTATCAAAATCTGGTTGAGGAGGGTCACAGTATACAAAATGAGAAAATTTGACCTTATTGACAAAAAGAATTTAATTTTTGAGGAGGAAAATTCAAAATTATATATTTAAGGACTCAATTGGAATTTTTCTCCATGTTGTAGTTGTGAAGGTGGGGGCTGCGGACTAGACCTCCACTTTGTTCTTTAGAGAGATCCCATTTTCCTACTATTGGACTCTTTTGGATTCATTGAATTGCTTTTTTCCTTTTTCACTAACAATCTAGATAGAAATAGGTCAATCCTCATCTAGTCTTTCAATTTGGATTATGGAGGTGGTAAGCAAAAGTGAAGGATTTAATTGAATTTATTAAAGATTTAATTGCAAGGAAAATTAATTCTCAAAGTCAATTTAGGATTTAATTGAAAGAAATTAAAGTCTAAGAGTCAAATTATAAATTTTAAGAGTTAATTTGGTCAAATCAAGAGCTTATTGCATAAATATTTAAGTTTGATGAGTAGTTAGGGATTTGATTAAAGAAATTCAAAACCAAGGACTAACTTGTAAGTAGCATGAGACTACAAGGTTTGAAATCATTAAAATTAGGGACTCAATTGAACAAAATTTAAAGTTTGATGGTAATTGGGATCCAATTGAAAAAATAAAAAATCAAGGATCAAATTGCAAAAGGTTCTCAAATTCAAGGCTAGCAAGTGATTTTGGTAGGGATTAAATTGCATGAAATTAGGAGTTAAGGAGGAAATTAAGTGTAAGATTAAAAGAAATGAGAAGAATAAGGATTAAATTGAAGTTTGTCAAATCCCAAATTAAAAGAAATGAGAAGAATATTGATTAAATTGAGTTTTGTAGGGTTTAGCCTATACAATGTCGTTCAGATACTATACACTATATGATGTCGTTTAGGTACTATACACTTTCTATTTCGATACTTTTGGTTGATTGAGTAGGTACTTTCAAATAGGTGAATGTGGTGTTTTTGACCACTTCTAAGGCTGTAATCACTACCATTCAACTGAGAAACACCCCTTTCTACAACACCATTTCTATAAAATCAAACATTTACATCCTATTTTCTCTAATGATCTTAGCAAAATCTTGTCCACAATTAGCCACCCTTATGTTTTCAGATTCTATGTTGATCGAGTTGATACTTTCAAACGAATGAATGTGGAGTTACATACCTCCAGATTGAGTAAGATTATATCCAACATAAAGATATATACCCCCTCTACCATGATTAAGTGATCTCAGGAAATGTTGATGTTGGTGTTGCTCTAACAAAGCCATGACAGCAGCCATTCTAGTTAGTTTTAACTAAGATGCTCATTTACACAAAATCATTTAACTCTTTCATGTGTTCACACTTAAAAAATCCAAGAGGGTTCTTATCAAGGGTTTAAAACATTTCTCTCAAGATTAAAAGGTTAGAAACACTTCACTTTGACCTTAAAGTTTGTTACAAAACAATATAAATCCAAAACCATTGATCCTGTGGTAAAACCAATCTAGTTTTAGTTTACTAAAACCCTAACAAACTCATCTAGAAGCTCTGAATCTATCTATAAAAGAAGAGGTAATTAGAGGAGCAAAAGGGAGGAAGCAAGAGAGGAGAGAAACAAAGAGGAAAGAAATTTTGGTGGAAGTTAAAGCAATCCTATCATGTTCATCATTTCAAGGATTTAGTTTGTTTTTATTGGGTTTAAAGAGAAGGAAAAAGAAAGGAACATTAAAAATCCATTCTTATTGGAAGATTTCAAGCTTGAAATGTATACCCTTGTAAAACTTGAAAATGGAGTCCATGAGACTTGTTAGATTGATTTTTGTTGTTTAAATGCAATGTTTTGAATGTGTTGACATGTTAATGATTGGTTTAATACATTATATTTGCCTCTGAGTTTGATTTGGAATTTGCCAAATATGTTAGTAAGGTTGATGTTCTTATGTTCTTGCATGTTCTTAGGTTTATAAGTTTTTTCTGTTCTAGATGAAGGTTTAGGAAGACATTTTGAATCCAAACTACATAAATATGTAGGTTGTTTTAGGTTTATAGGTTTGAAGCTTTTATGTTTTGCATGCTTATGATGATTTGTTTTTATTAGTTCTTTTTTATTCAAGTATGCTTGGTTA